GGAGATCAACCGCGAGGGGGCGCGAGTTAACATGGGAAAGACGGAGCTTCTGCTCGCGCCGTCGGGGGCGGGCATCAAAAAGAGGTCGGGGCGCATTCAGGCCCGCGGCGCGGGCGTCGCAGCGCGGGCGTCGCAGCGCGGCGGGGCGGCTGTTCTCCGCTTCGCCCTCGGGCGCGCTAGGCGCTTAGGCGCGCGGCGGGGGGCCGCGGGCGCGCGCCAGGTGGCGGTCGCGAACCGGGCCCAGGCTGCCAACGCAACGTGTGCCAGGCAGCTGCGTCGAGCGCCCAGCGCGGGGCTCAGTCCCGAGCTGGAAGGCCGTGGAAGGCGCCGGCCCAGTCGGCGTGCCTCTACCGCCTGGAGATCACCGACCTCGCCGAGAGGGAGCTGAATCGGCCAGAGACGCGGCAGGTTCGCAAGCTCCTCAGTCCTCTTCACTCGCCCACGCACATGTTCAAGAGGCCCACTCGGGAGATCAGGCGCACGGCGAGGACTCCAACGGTCACGAGCGCGCTACTGTTGAGGCGGTCGAGGTGGTGGAGAGGGCATTGCGGCCGGCTTTTCCAGGGCCGAGCGAGGGCAGACGCGACCCCGCGCCGCCTGTCCGCGCGACCATTTTCGGGAGGTTCTCTTTCGGGGGCGGAGCATATCAGGGAGCCGACGGATGCGCGCGGCCAGCTCTTGGCCTGCCGCTGTTTACTTCCGCGCGGCGACCTGCCGGAGTTGACTGAGCCATCTGGCAGTTGTGGGACCGCGGTGTTTTAGACGCGTCCTCACGCGCGGGGGCGACGCCGATGCCGCTGCTGACGCCTCGGCGGCTACTTGGCTGGAGCGCGACGCGCGCGGTCTGAAATGCAAAGGAGAAAGGCGATTGGCCCACCGTGGGCGAGCGGCGCGCAGGGCCTGCGCCAATCCTGCGGCGCCCTTATCAGACGAAGATCTGAGGCAGAAGAAGCGCCCGGTCTGTGGGCGAGAGTTCGCGAAGGAAGACACGCGGGCCAGGCGCGCCCCGCTGGGTCGATGCCCAGCGCGCCCAGGAAGCGTCGTGGCTCGAGCTCCACGGGAAGGGCCTTGTGCCGCGGCCCGCCTGGCCCCATCCGAAGCCGGCGACGATGCCCCAGCAGATCGAGGAGTTGGAGACGGGAAGCCAGAAGAGGACGGCACTCTTGGCAGGGGCAGTGGCCGAGGCCGCGGGAGAGGCAAGCGACATCGGTGGGGCCGCAGGGCCAGGCAACGGCGAGGCTGGGGCAGCAGCTAGGGGCCGACGCGAAGGCGACTCAGAACATGACGGAGGTGGCGCTTGACCAGGGCATGACGCGCTACGGGGACGAGAACAGCAAGGCGAAGGAGGAGGGTCAGGTGACGGGCCAGGCATTGCTGGGCAGCAGGGCCCATCGGTGAAGTTCGTGGCCACGTGGAGTCTCAACGTAGAGGCCAGCCACCGCGCCGCCAGCCACTACGCCGCGAGGAAGAAGGGGCTGAAGGTCTCGAGGATGAGCGGGGCGCTTGCGGAGGTGGGCGCCCAGGGGCACTGCGACGTCGCCATCCGCGGGAGGGCGGCCAAGGGCGCGGAGGCTTTTGCCTCCTGTGGGGGCTGGAGGAGGTGGAGGGCCACGGGCAGGGACGGGAAGAAGCCCAAGTGGAAGTGAGCGGTCCACTTGTAGCTTCGCCCTGCATCCCCCCTCTGTGGCCGCCTCTCACCTCGGGCCTCTCGTGATCCGTCCGGGCTTCCAGTGAGCCGGCAAGCGAAGCTAGAGCAGCACTTCAGATTATGACCTCGGTGAGGCGGTGAGGCAAGTTTTGCTGGCCACGCTAAAGTGTGGGGGCTGTGCGCCCCTCTCCACCCGGGGGGGGGGGGCGCTCTGCATGTGCCACCCTGCAGGTGCGGGGGTGCGCGGGAGCGGGGTTGGGGCGCAGCTGCCCCGTCAACCCCCGAGCCTGCCCTCTCCTTCGGGCATCGACCGACGTCGGGCCGCGCCACGCGGTTTCGCACGGTATTCTCAGCTGCCCCCACAAAACTTGGTAGGCAACGGGAGTGATCAACAAAAAAAGGAAGGTTAGCGGCGGAAGTAGAAGATGCGCCCCAAAGAAAAAACATCGTTTTTGGTTTCAGGGTTTCTGGAACCCGACATGTGGCATGGCCCAGTGCCCCACGAATTGCCCCGCGACCCCCCGCGGCCCGCCCCATACAATTTCTCAGAGGGCGGGGGCCCCACCCTCCCCGGCTGGCAAGTTAGGACTGCAGGACGCCCGACCTCCATCATGCCCTCGCCTCCCTTACGGTCGGACCGAGGTATAGGATAGAGGTCGGCTCGGGGAAGGTACCCCCGTGTTCTGCGTGTTTGTCGGATGTTCTTGCGCACCCTGGGGGGGTATCTCCTCGAATGTTCTTCATTGTGGCCAGCGGAGGGTCTTATGTCCTTGAAGGGTGCTCTTCTGTCCCAGGTCTGGCCGTACTCTTGCGTTCCCCCTCCACCTGTCGCCCTCTCACTGCCCTGTGCCCTGTGCCTGCCTCGCTCCCTTCGTCCTCTGCGCACCCTCGCCAGGGGGGGTAGGTGGAGGATGACGGGAGCGAGGCAGACATCGGGCAGTGAGAGCGCGAAGGGTGGGGGCGGGGGGGGGGGGGGAACGGACGGACGTGATGAGCCCGATGCCCACGGCAGGGTTCGCGACCGCGTGCCGATGTGAGATCAAGGCCACGAATAGCCGGCATGGGCGCAACAAGTTGTTGCTCCAAGACGCGCTGGTGAGGTGGGGGAGAGCAGGTGAGGCCGGGGCGCCCTGGAAGAACATGAGACCCTCCGCCTGCCAAAACACCCCAAACTAAAGGATCACTCGAGGATGCCCTCCACCGGGGTGCACAAGAACATCCAATAAGCACGAAGCACATGAGGGCACCCTCCCCGAGCGCTATCAGAGCGTCCCGCAATGCTCTTAGGAGAAGGCCGCGGTGCCCGAGATTTTTTTAGAGCCGCCAGACCTGAGAAAATTCTCGATTTATGTTGGCTTCGTCTTACCCCGCTGCAATCCCCGACCACCGACTCTGCCCCCCCTGCACTCAGCAACGCGCAGAGGGGGATGGGGGGAGGGGGGAGGGTTTCTCAGAAGCACCCCTGCTTCTTAGAAGGCGCGGTCCTCATTTGTAGATCTGTCACCCCCGCACTCAGCCACGCGCAGATGGGGGTGTTGGGAGGGGGGAGGGCTTCTACGAAGCGGCCTACTTCTGAGACGCCCTCCCCCCTCCCTGCACCCCCGTGTGCGCGCCGCCAAATGCACGACGATACGTGCCCTGTGCGGTGGGTTTGTGTCGTGTTGACGCGGCGGCGACCCCGCCGCGAGAGTTCGAGGTTGAACGCCGCCAGTGACCTAGAATCGGCCATGGATCGATCTGGCGATCGAGAAGCCGCCGATCGTTCAGAGAAGAACGATCCGCGCGGAGTCAGAAACACACGCGCGGGTCGTCACGACACGAACCTGCCGTAGGCTCGCGACCCCGTCCCCGGGGCCCGGCCCGCGGTTTTTTGTCAGGATCCTCTCGCTTCGGGCTTCGAGGGCGGGTTCGCTTCGCCCCTTGGACGGCAGCAGCCACGAAGTGCCGAGTGTGAGGCGATGCTCGACATGCCCGTGAAAGTTCAAGCGAGGACAAAAGTGGACTGGGCAGTGGTCCCCGCAGCTGGCCCGGGAGGCTCCATTTGAGGCCGGCAGTCGACTCCGCCCGGCGTCTGCGGCGCCCGCTCTCATCGTCGTCTTCGAGGAGGAGGAGGAGGAGGAAGAGGAGGAGGAGGAGGAGGAGGAGAAGGAGGAGGAGGAGGAGGAGGAGGAGGAGGAGAAGGAGGAGCAGTAGGAGAAGGAGAAGGAGAAGGAGGAGGAGCGGACAAGTCGTGCAGGTGAGGGCAGGAGCGGACCGAGCGCCCCTTGGACGGCTTCCTGGGGCCCGGGGTGAGCCCCCAAAGGGGGCCCAGACTGCGACCAGGTGAGAGCCCGACCTCTGCAGGTCCACCAGGCGCCAGGATATCGAACACCCCCGCTGGTCGGGCGTGGCGTAATGGGGGCTTGATGAATACCCTCAGATCGGGGCGTTGCATTTTTTCGTGTCGGGCGTTTTCGCCCGATTTCGTGCCCCGGGACCCTCACCGATGGATCTGGCTCGAAACATAATTAATGCAGAAAGATGGGGTCCATGGCTCCATTCGTGATTTTTGTTGCGATGTTGTAGCTTTCTGGCAGCGTCGGATCTCGCGGGGATAGGAGAGTGAGGAAAGGTGCACCTCTTGTGCCCCAAATAAGCCCTAGAGGGCCCCCCTGGGGCCCAAAAGGGACACGAAAGGTGCACGCTTCTCCCCCCCCCCCCCCACCACCCCCTGTTTACCGCCCCCCTCCACTAAGCAACGCCCAAGCTGAGGTCCGCTCGGCTGCAGACATCCTTCGGATTCTAAAGCCCAGCTGGCGTTTCAGAACTATGACCTGCGGGGGTAGGGTTCACATGTGGCCGCCTGCAGTCATGGTAAAACTGGCAGTCCTGCTCTCTATATCATTTGGAGAAGAAACGGCATACGCAGACATAACAAATTCGAAGGTCCACGCGGATTTCTTGCATGTATGCTGGAGTCCCCTGGTGGCGCCTCACTTGGCGCCAGGGAGGGGGGTCCAGCGCCGATCCAAGAAATCCGAACCGACACCCGAAAGACGTGTGCCTATCCTTGTTTCCTTATTCTTCCGATTCTGGAGGTCAGGGTGCACCCCATTTCCCCCATCCTCCATCCTTGTCCGTCCTCCCTCTTCGGCTACGCACAAGAGTGGCCCACGGCAAGTGTGACCTTTGGTGCGCGGCTTTCGGGGGCCGCGGGGGGAAGGAGGCACACCCGCGCGCGCAGGCCGCTGCCGTCGCGCCGCACTCGGCGATCGGGGGTGCGCAGAGCGGGCCCGCACCAAAGGTCACTTCAGCGAAGGGTACACTGCTTTGTGTTGCTTATTGCTCCCCGCCACCACCTTCCCGCGCGCGGCCAGCATCGGGGCCAGTACCCCCCCGCCCCACCCCCAAGCAGCCGCGCCCGCGCCCCGCCGGCGCCCGCGGGCTGGGCGGCGGTGATGGAAGGCAGCATGTCCGTTGGGTCCGGCTACAGCTTTGGCGGCTGCCTTAGGACGACGACGACGACGACGTCGCCGTGGGTGAGACGCAGAGAGAGAGAGAGAGAGAGAAATGGAGAGAAGAGAGACAGACAGACAGACAGACAGACAGACAGACAGACAGACAGACAGACAGACAGACAGACAGACAGACAGACAGACAGACAGAAGTGGAGGCAGAGACAGGGGGCGGAGAGAGAGCACGAGGGCGGGAGAGAGAGTTAGAGGGACGGCGCAGATGCGGACCGAGGGTCGGTCCAGGCGTCGGGCGGACAAGCGGCTGGTGCCCCCAACGCTTCACAGCGAACTGAGCGGGTGGCGAGGCGCACGACTGGCTGGGCAGGACAGAGGCCCCGATTGGCGCGCGGCGCATCCAGCGGCACGGGCAAGAGCCCGGGGGCAGGATGCCGCCTTGGCAGGACGCTTCCCCGGTCATATGTGACTGTCCAACCCCCCATTGAAGACCCCCTGTTGCAGACCACCTCTTTCACCTCTTTTAGCGCGAAGAGCAGAGCTCGGAGATCGTCGCGGACAATGCGAAGATGGGCATGGAGCGCGCGGAGCTCATGCACTGGGAGATTTTCGCGTAGATCAGCCGGCCGATCGGGAGGATCAAGGGCAGGTGGATCAGGAAAAGCTTGGTCGTCGAGCACGGGGATTCGATCGAGGCAGTTCCCGCGCTGGGCGACTCGCACGCGCAGCGCAGCGCAGGACGTGGCGACCGAAGTGGGGGTCGGGCACGTCGGGGCGCTGAAGAGGTCGCGGGGCCCAGGACTAGGCCAGTGGGGTCGGACAGCGCTTCGGTCCGGTGGGCCGAGCTGCCGTGCTGCCGTTGTCTCTGTGGTCTCGCGTGAGTTCGCGTTGGGCTCTACCCTGGTGGGTGTACCCGTCGGGTTTGGCGGCTGCAGCGGTTTTGTCCAGGGTAATCGACCACGGAGTTCCGCGGATCCTTTTGTCGGTGCCGCAGTCGCTGGTGTTTTTGCTGGCATCGGAGATTCGCGCTGAAGCCCCGGCGCGCTTTTCCGATGGATGCTACTGGTATGTAAGGTCTCGTGATCGGCCCCGTGAAGCGGAGGCACGATGGGGACGTCCCAGATTGATGCATCACTGCTGACGAGAAGAGCGGTGCCGTTGCCTTGGTCAGCGTTGGCGGAGGCCGTAGACCCTGCTCAGTCACGGTTGGTGCCCGTCTTGGGCTTTTTGGATTCAGCAAGAAGTCTTTGATTTTGTTTTCGCACAGTTTCATCTGTTCGCTCCTGAGTTTACTCTGGTCGGGGTGGTGATCTTGGGACATGGTATCGAGATCGTCTTGGTGCTTGCAAGCAAGTTCGTTGTAAGCAGCGGCTGCTCGATCGACGTCACCACTGGTCCGGAGTGCGGCGACGCAGGCTTCCTTTCGACTGAGGTTGGTGTCCTGCCGATTTGTTAAGGTTGCCTTTAAGCGGCCTTTGCCTGGTGGTTTGAGCTGCGGCGGTACGTGAAGCGCACGGTGAGGGCACTCTGAAATCATTGCGGCGCGTTCGGTAGCACAAGAGGGTGTGACGCGAATCAGTCCTGCGGTGAAGGCCACCGGCCCAGCCCCGCCATGCTATCTATGGAATGTTGGGGGGTCCGTGTCTTGGCTGCGCCCTGGGTCCAGAGACCGTCGAGTCGAGATCGGAGAGCGAGTGAAAGAGAGAGAGAGAGAGAGAGAAAGGAGGAAGGGAGGGAGGGAGGGAGAGAGGGATGGATGGAGGGAGGGAGGGGAGGGAGGCCTTGGAGCACGGAAAACCGCGGCCTCCGGCGGGAAAGCAGAGCGGGAGAGCAGTCGCAAACCGTGCGTTTCCCTCCCTCTTTCTCTCTCGTTATTTATTGTGTTTCTCTCTCTCTCTCTCTCACTATCTCCTTTTTTGTTTTCTCTCCGTATCTCTCTTTCTCTTTTTCTCTAGTTTGTTTGTTCGTTTTTCCCTATCTCTCTCTCTCTGTCTCTCTCTCTATATATATATATCCCTCTCTCTCTCCCTCTCCCTCCCTTTCTCTCTATCCTTGTCCTCGTCCTTGTCCCCACGTCCAGCCTTTGCTTTCCAGTCGGGGCCCCCACAGACCGCGCCAGGGGGGAGGTATGCTCGCACACGCAGCACCTTCCGCCACACGGGGTGGGCGCGGCGGGCGCGAGTACCACGCGCGCCCAGACGGACATTCCGCCAGAGTTGGTGCGATCTGTCTCTCTCCCTCTTTCTCTCTTTCCCTGTCTCTCTCTCTCTCTCTCTCTCTCTCTCTCTCTCTCTCTCTCTCTCTCTCTCTCTCTCTCTCTCTCTCTCTCTCCTCCATCTCTCTCTCTCTCTCTCTTTCTTGTTTATCTCTCTCTCTCTTTCTCTCTCTCCCTATCGCTCTTTGTCTTTCTCTCTTTCTCTTTCTCTCTCTCTCTCTCTCTTTCTCTGTCTCCCTCTCTCTCTCTCTCTCGCTCGCTCTCCCGTTCTCTCTCTCTCTCTCGTTCTCCCTTTCGGTGTCTTACTCTCTCTTTCTCTTCCTCTCTCTCTGTCTGTCTCTCTCTCTTTCTCTCTCTCTCTCTCTCTCTCTCTCTCGTCTCTCTTTTGTTTGTGTCTCTCTCTCTCTCTCATCTCCCTCTCTCCCTCTCTCTCTCTCTGTCTCTTTCTCTTTCTCTCTCTCTCTCTCTCCCCCTCTCACTTTCTCACGTTCTCCCAGGCTACCCCTGCCCCTGCCCCTTCAGCACGTGCCCCTGATCTTTTAGGAGTGCGAGTAAATGTGTCATGGCTTCAGCCCTGGGACATCTTCCATGATGTGATGGGATTGTGGTTTGCTGTCCTTTGGCATCCCCGCAGCCTGCGGAGCGCCCTTGCAGACTCGGAAGGACCGCCACCACCAACAAGAACAGTTCGTTGACCCTCATCGTTTGCTTATCATGTGTTTGCACTGGCGGTGGTCAGCATGGCCCCCCCAGCTTCGGCACCTCAGAGATCGCACCACCTCTCCTAGGAAGGCTTCTGCCCAAGCGCATGATTCGAATTTTCAGCCATGTCTGGTGAAGAGTGTGAAAGAGTGCTTGGCCAGCCTTCGGGGCGGAATACCATACACACTTGGGAACTAGGGATCGTTGAGAGGCCTTCAGTGCGTCGAATCGTCCACTTCGGAAGGTTGAACTCCTGTCCCAAGATGCCCGTAAGGGATGCGGCCACTCAGGGAAAGATGATCCTTTCCTTGTCATCCCCACTAGAAGAAACGTGATCAAAGGGTCACCCGTCGTGTAACCGCTGGTCGCGATCCGGGTGATCGCAGATGGTGCAACCGTTGATCGCAGCGTTCGTCCAAAGCGTAATATCTTCGGCCTTCTAGGTGACCGTTTTGGTATGCGGCGCGGTCGGACGTTACAACCGACCATCCGATTTGCATCTAGAGTTGGCCCCAGGGGCGTACGGACCCGAGCGCTGCGAATTCTACCCCGAATATTTCTTAACCACAGTTGAGCACGCTTCGATTCAAGTGACTCGTTCGACGTCGGATGCTTCGACCAGATATTGGTTTACACGCTTCTCGTTTGTCCTGTGCGTGTAAGCGTCTCGTACCGTTGGCTCTGCACGATTCGTCATGTACGCATCTTGTCAAGTCCAAGTCGGTTACTCTCTGGTCAAAGGCGCCTGATGATGAAAGAGACACGGAATCCTCATAAGGTATTTTCGTTGTCCAGGTTGGTAATTGGTCTTAGTGCCCATTCCGATCCGATCGGTCTTGATACCGATTTCGTTTGATCTGATTCAATTCCTATATTCCCTCGACCCGACGCGGTCCGATGTCTGCATGGCGTTATGCATCTTAGCGCAGCCGATACGATTCTACTCTGACTCCGTACCGGTGCAACCCGATCCGAAGCACATTCCGATCGAGCCCGATTTCTCGATCCGATGCTGACGAATCCTGCCAAGTTGGGCACTGGTTCTGTCGCGGGTCCCCGGAAGGTGCGGTGACCACACCGTGTGGTGAGTCGGTGGGGACTCGGGGTGACCGCACGGTTCTTTGGGTTGTCCTCCGAGGAGTTCTCGGGCGACTGGGGCCTCCAAGGTCCCAAGACCGTGAAGTGACGGACCGTGCGGTGAGGTCGTCGGGGTTTCCGGGGTCACCGCACGAACTGTCACCGCACCGTTTTGCGAACCCTGCTCACCAGGCGGCCCCTACACGGGCGGCGTTGCTGTGGTAGAGCCCATGGCCATGTCCCTGCTCGACTCGCGGAACGGGAGCACCGAGAGCATGAGGGCGGCCCAGGCCTACCCGCCGTACGCCCAGCAGCAGGCCTCGCGGCAGGTCGCGGAGCGCCTGGGCCTGAGAGGGGCGTGCTCCAGCGATCATCGGCGACTGCAGGTCGCCGATCTGCTGTTCGGCGGCACGCCGAGGGAGGAAGGCTGAGGGGGCGGGCCTTCTCAGAACGCTCAGAAGGCCTCCGGCGTTCTGAGAAGCGTTCTGAGCTTCCCCCGAAGAGTGCGCGGGCTTCTCAGGAGGCCGGAGGGCTTCTGGGAAGCCCCGCCGCCCTCTGAGAAGGTTTGCCCCCTCTACCCCCCCCCCTTGTGCGCGTCGCCGAGTTGTGATCGAAGATCGTGGTATCGTAAAGGGGAGGTATCCCCAGGTGGGGGTGGGGATCGGACCCAGTTGGATGCTCACATATCATGATTTCCCAGGGGCCGTTTGGAGTGATGTTCCTCTGACCCAACCTCTGCGTATATCCCACCTCCAGGCCCCCCGAGAAGAAGACAAACTTGCATAAGCATAAACTGTCGCAGGATGGCCCGGCCCAGCTTTCTTGGATCTGCGCTGGACCCTGCTGGCGGCGCTCCGGCGCCGCTTGTGGCGCGCTCTTTGCGCCAGGGAGGGGGTCCTGCGCCGATCAAAACAACAAAAAATAAACAAAAAAAACGCGCGGCACTCCGAAAGTCGATGCTTGTGCCCATGCCACTTCTGCCATGAGATCGACAGGTCCAGCGGGGGAGCGACCTCGAGCCCAGGGGAGCGGGGCACTCCTCCAAGCGAAAGGAAGCAGCAGCAGGACCCTCTCCCTGGTGAGGCTCGATTGATGCTAGCGGCGCCGTGCGCCAATGGTTTGGCAAGCTTGCGGGCGGCTACTGGCGGGAGTGAGCCCCGCGCCGACGGAATCGTTCTTGACCCACCCGCTGTCTGGGGCCGCGGTGCGTGGCGTGGACCGGCCCAACGTGGCGCGCCGAGGTCCAGAACTGGGGCCTCGCGTGGTTCCGCCGTCCCAGGCTTGCTGGGCGAAAGTCCCAGGCTGGTCATGGTTCACGGGCGGCGCACACATGTCTATCCGCGCCCTCGCGGTCTGGATTCCAGGGCGCGATCCCGCGGATACGCGGTCGCACGGATGCGCTCCGCGCGGGGCATCCGCGAGAAAGTGCCCCATATCCGCGGGGTCGCGGCCCAGGGGTCGTTCCATGAGGCCGCAGATACGGACATGTTTTGCGCCCTCGAATTGTGGGAGGGTTTGTAATTTGCGACGACCCCTCTTGCTCTGTCTCGTGGAAGGCAAGACCGTAACCAGTATTGGCCAGAGGGGTTGGCTGGAATGGTGGGCCAGAGAGTTGGCCGGAGGGTTGGCCGGCCCGAGGGTTGGCCGGAGTGATTATTAGGTTTTGTTTTTGTTATGAGATACAGTAGTGGAAGCAGTCTTCGAAGACGCCTCTGGCGAGTCAACGCCGCCCCCTGCGGCTGGAAAGCCTAAAGCGTAGCATCTTGGCGCCTCCTGGGCAAGGGTAGCCTTAACAGTGAAATCCAAAACCTCAACGTGACCTAACAATGTTAGGTCACATAGAGTCCAGGGGAAGTGTTCTACGCAGTGTTTTCTACGCAGTGTGTTCTACGCATTGTTTTCTACGCAGGGTTTTCTGCTCGGTGTGTTCTACGCGGTGTGTTCTACGCGGCGTGTTTCTACGCGGCGCGTTATTCGCGACGCGTTATACACGGTGCGTTCTGGGGGTGGCGCGTTCTACGCGGTGTGTTTTAAGAGCGGTGTATTCTAGGAGCGGCGCGTTCTAGGAGCGGTGCGTTCTACGCGGTGTGTTCTAGGAGCGGTGCGTTCAGGAGAGGCGCATTCTAGGAGCGATGCGTTCCAGGAGCGGTGCGCTCTACGAGCGGTGTTTTCTAGGAACGGCGTGTTCTACGCGATGCGTGCTACGCGGCGCGTTCGACGCGGTGTGTTTTTTCGCGGTGCGTTCTACGCGGTGTGTTCTGGGAGTGGCGTGTTGTGTGCGGTGTGTTCTCCACGGTGTGTCTTGCGCGGTGCGTTCTAGGCGGCGTGTTCCAAGCGGCGTGTTCTACGCGGCGGTGCGATCTATGAGCGGCGTGTTCTAGGAGCGGTGTGATCTATGAGCGGCGTGTTCTACGCGGTGCGTGCTAAGGGCGGCGCGTTCTGGGATCGCCGCGTTCTAGGAATGGTGCGTTCTAGGGCATGCGTGTTTTAGGAGCGGTGCGTTCTAGGAGCGGTGTGTTCTAGGAGCGGTGTCTTCTAGGAGCGGTGTTCCACGCGCCGCGTTTCTGCGCGGCGCCTTAGTCGCGGTGTCTCACGCGGTGCGTCCTAGGAGCGGCGTGTTCTATCAGCGGTGCGTGGCGTGTTCAATGAGCGGTGTGTTCAAGGAGCGGTGTGTTCTAAGAGCAGTGTCTTCTAGGAGCGGTGTGTTCTAGGAGCGGTGTGTTATAGGAGTGGTGTGGTCCAGGAGCGGCGCGTGCCCACATGTTGGTTCTTCTTCCGTGCCTGCTGCACGATTTGTTTCACCCCTTCTCTTCTCGGATCTTCATCTCTGGAGGTAGGCCAATCCACACTCCATGCTGCGGTTCTCCCAGAGTCGATCGGCGACAAGTCGCAAAGCCCTTGGGGAAGAGCGGGTGAAGCCCACGTGGCCCTTCCCAACCAGGTATTCCCTCTGATTTCGGTCGGCCGGACAGGTGGTCGTCAACGCCGGCGTGTCACAGCAGGAGTCGCCCGGGCCTCGGTCTCGGGTGCTGTCCGCCGAGACGGCGCCGGCGGAGAAGCGGTACTCTTCCCTCCTTCTTCTCCCCTCCTCCCAGCTATTGCTTCCTCCTACCTTCACCCTCTCCTTCCTCAACTCTGCATCCTCGTCATCCGACCTCAACCATCCCCCTCCTCTACCTCACCTCCGGTCTCCACCTCCTCCTCCTCCTCATCTTCCTCCTCAGCCGCCGCCTCTGCCCAAGCCAATTTCTCAGCGGCTAGCAGGCTCCCCGCCCCACCCATGCCGCCTCCCATGTCATGCCAGCCTGGTTGGCCTCCATATTTTACATACTCATGATCTGGATCATGCCAGTTCTCAGTTGGGGAGTCGACATCCCATTTTTCGCCTCGCATCGTTGCCTCGAGACCCACCATCAGTTCAGCGCAATGGAAGTGCTGATGTTGCCCGCGACGCGTTGGCTACAACACGACCCCAGCCCGGAGGCGAATAACTTTCAGTCGTTCAATCACAGTTTCTACAGCAGGGGTCACGGACGCGGACCACACACCTACAGCCACGCGGGCGGGGCCATCACGTTCAACAGTAAGAGGTCCAGGCAGCGCACCATCGTCGAAGTCAAGAGCCCGTCCAAGCTGATTCAAGGAACAGCGCGGGCCATTCGCATCAGGCGTGGCGAGCGCGACCTCACGTTCTTCGTTGTTTTTCCCCACCGAGGACAGGATTCGCCACCAGACACAACCAGTGGGAGAAGACGGTCTACGTAACGCTCAAGTGGATCAACAGCACCCTCAGTGCTGCGCCGACGAGCAGCACCCGCACATAGGCCTGTCTCCGATCGAGTTCTACGTAGAGTCAGGCCTCGTCGCAGCAGAGATCAACCATGTCTTCGGAGTTTCTCTGCCTGTCGGCAGACCAGGTGCAGCTGCCGCGGCACTAGACTACATGATGGACGTACATGGCAAGTGCCTAGTCTTCAGATGCTGGCTTGCTGGGCGCATTTTTTCGGGAGTGAGAGCCACGCGACGCGACCTGACTACCTCGCCATCCCCCAACGATTGTTTTCGCTGATTACCTCGTATGGAATTTGGTGGCCGGCCGTCAGAGCAGTACAGCTCATCAAGATCAACGTAAAGCGAGACCTCGCCCCCCTCATCGACAGCGCAGAGATAATTATGCCGTATGACTTCTCCGACAAGCAGCTCACACTGTGCGGTACTGGCATGGCAGAACCACTACATGCAGGAGTTGTTTTTTTGGCACGCGTTCCACGCAGCATTGGAGACCGCCCGCACGAGCAACACCGACACAACACGAGCCCTCCTGTGGTAGTGCACGACAGTCTTGATCGACACCCTCAAGTCTATGGCCAAACCATTCGTCGAGCGCAAGAAGAAAAAGCCAGGCACCAGCCAGCAGCAAATGGCGGAACAGCTAGAATTATTGAAGCTGCGCGCAGCACGGTGCAAGAAGTACATCGGCGCCTATGTCCTTGACCTTGGCCTGGACATAATGGAGAAGCTGGACATCCTCACGCGGACCATCAAGAAGCAGCAGCAGCAGCTCCACGAAGCTGAAAAGAAAGCACTCGAGGCAAGCATATTCGCAGCCCTGGACAAGAGGCAGCATGCAGAAGCGCACAGACTCTCCAAGTGCGTGGCAGGCACCAAGTATGGCAAGCGAAACCGCAATTACAGCAGGGCGACTCGTTCGCGTTCCAGCATCACAAAATGGACGCATCACGTGGCTCAAAGTGGCCCCACGGAGGACACGCAACGCAATTCATCGGCCTCAGCGAGGAGATGAGACCATTAAAAGAACGCACCGACGCCTGCACCGAGCATTTCAAACGCGGTCGCCCCCAGCAGACATGCCACATATCATATTGCAGCCCACGGTCATCACAAAGAGGGAGCCGCAGACCGAGGGCCCCGGTTCCACGAGGAGTTGATCGAAGGACCGTGGACTTGCTTCGCAGGTGCCCTCGGCCGCGCGCACTGGGCGGGCTTCGCTCTGCTGAATGCTCAGCGCAGCCAGAGTTTCACCCCCGACAAGGTGAACGCCAAGCTCTCCGTGCAAGGACAGCGTATATTGCACCTGCTCTCCCACTACTGGCGTTGCGTGCACCGTCTACTGCGGCGCCAGCTACGCCCCCGGGCTCCGTTCCCTCTCGCCCAAGGCCGCTGGCGAGCCCAGCGCGTCTTCGTCGTCGGCAGCACAGATGCCACCTCCGTTTCCCCGCGCTCAATGCTCGACGAGGCATCGGAAGTCATGCGGGCGCGCTTTGCAGGCGCGGCGCAGATTGCCCACGGGAACCAGAGCGCCCCCGTCAAGATCGACAGGTTCGACCAGTCGGGAGATTTGCATGTGGGACCAGGAGTCACGCGTGGATGCAGCGCAGGGCCCACCTCCGGCCACCTCGATTGCGACTTGCTGGTTGGCCAGTGGCTAGGCGCTACCACGAAAGATTCGGAGCCCTTCGCAGCCCCCCCCCCCCGTCGCGCACGACGTGACCGACCTCTCTGCCTAGATATACGGGGGCGGCGCCCAAAAGGTACAATCGGTTCCTGCTGGCACCACACAAGCAGCAGCTGCCACCCTCAAGTCCAGCTTCGCCATGGACGGGGCCCAGGACATGCAAGAACCAGGAGCCGCGCGATGTGGGAGGGCCCGCGCACGCGGCACCCCAAGGGGCAATGGCAGTTCGCGCCGAGCGGGGAGGAGTAGCATACCAAGCCATGGGCGACCTCCAGCTCGAGAAGCTCCTGAAAGTGCTGATCCAGCAGGTCGTGGCCAACGCCCAGCTGCTGGCATGCCCAGTGGCGGCCACCTTCCACGCGCGCCTCATGCCAGTGCAGAGTAACACCACCCAGGCACTCCAGACAAGCAAGAAGAACGACGTGGACCGGTGAGTGCTCAGAGGCGGGGACAGGACATGCGTGAGGACCACCAGAGGGGCGCGTGTACATGACGCAATTTCGACCCTCTCCACCGCGGACGCGGGGGGCAAGGCGCGCGCCATCCTCGCGGAGCACGAGCAGCTCCTGCACAAGATCAACGCGCACCCGACCCTATGGCCAAGCACCCCCGCAACTGCAAGTGCTACTTCAGCAGCGCGCTCATTCTCTTTCTCGAGCACGGGCCGAGGGGGGGCGCGGAGCACGAGGGTGGTGCCGCGCAGGAGCAGCTCACATACTCACCGATCAAGGACACGTACGTCGAGCCCTCCTGCAGGCGGGAGCAGTGGCACAGGAGGGCAAGGCGCCAGCGGGAGTCGCGCAGGATGAGCAGGCCGCGTGGCTTGCAGGACTACGATGATAATCGGATGTGGAGGCCGTTCTATCTACGCCATGGGCGGTTTCAAGCTTGGCGCGCGCGCGCGACGCCGCGAGCTGCGGGGGGGGGCCGCGGCGCGCGGGCGACGGCGGGGGCCGCGGACGTCCAGCAGGATTCTGATTCCGCCCCCCGAGGCAGCTTTTCTTTTTTCTTTCCCCTCCCCCCTCCCCTCCTCTGCGCTCCCCCCTCATCCCCGCTGCCGGCGCTGGGGGGGGGGGGGAAGGGGGGGGGGGGGGGGCGCGCTCGGGGGGGCGCGCCGCCTGGGCTTCACGTCCGCGGAGACGAACTACGACGGCCGCCGCGGCGGCGCCCGTGGACGGCAGCCCAGTCAGGCCGCCGCGGCGGGCCCCACGGGGCTCCTCGGCCGCCTCCGCGAGTAGCGGCAAAGGCGGGAAGCCCAGCGCCGGGGGCCGCAAGAAGCAGAAGGGCCAGGACGGAGCCGGCGTCGCTCGCGGAGCGGGCGCCGAGGGCACGGCGACCGAGCCGAAGCCCACGCGTCGCGGCGGCCGCCGACGAGGGGGCGACAAGGAGCGCAAGCTGACCACCAAGGACGGCGGCCTTCGCGAGCTGCTGCTGGCGCTGACCATGCAGGTCACCGCGCTCACGCAGAAGATCAGCGCGATGTGGGGGATCCTCACCAGGACGGTTATCCTCGAGGAGGCCAGCCCCGTGGTCAAGCACATGCAGGAGGAGGGGAAGGCGCTCGCGGAGAGCGCGCAGAACCTGAGGAGCAAGGTGGCCAAGATGAGAGAGGCCGCGAAGACGGCGAAGGGGACCGACAAGGAGGCCGAGGCCGTGGCGACCCGCGACGCGGAGGCAGCCATAGGAGAGCTACGCGACCTCGGCCCCCCGACGCAGGCCGTGTTCGCCGCCATGGTGGACGCGCTCGCGCTGCAGGAGGTTGGGAAGGTCAACAGAGTAGCCTTGGAGGCCTGGGCTACCAGCATGGTGGGGTGCCCACACGGCTACGTGAAGTTGTGCAGGCTGGAGAATTGCTACCCGGAGGACCAGATAAAAATCATGTTCTCGGTGTCGGATCGGGGGAAAGAAAACATCCTGGTGGACGCGTTCCGTGCCCTGGGAGCCCGGATCACCCGAGGCCAGGCCCCGGCGGGCTACATGGAAGAAGAGCTGGGTGCCTGGATCGACGTGCTGAAGGCCCAGAACAGGGACTGACTGAGTATCGACAGCCTGATCGTGATTGCTCTGAGGTGCTGCGCACTGCCCCGCCCCGTGTGAGCGAGGTCGTGCAGCCGTGGCACCCGCTACATATCTGTGCAGAGGCCAGCGCCTCGGACAACGGGCATTGCTGACCTCTTGTGGGGAGGTCGTTGTTGCTTGCGCCGTTCTTGTCGTCCTGCCTCCCCTGCTCCTCGTTTCGCTCCGCTCCGTCCTCTCGGGCCCTCGGCTTGCCCATCGGACCCCGTCCCTCGTCGGTCCCCCTCGCTCGGCGGTTCGCGGGTCGGTTCGTTTTGTCCCTTGCGTTCGGTTCGTCGGTTGTGGAGTGGCGCTCGTGTCCCCATGGTTTTCAGTAGAGCCTACACGAGAAAAATTTTATGGCGTAACAGAACATTGCTCAACAGCTGCGTACTCCTCCTCCTCCTCCTCCTCCTCCTCTTCCTCCTCCGCTTCCTCCTCCTCCTCCTCCTCCTCCTCCTCCTCCTCCTCTCCTCCTCCTCCTCCTCCTCCTCCCGCGCGCGGCCCCCCCCCCCCGCGCGCGCGGGATCGCGCGAGGAAGGGGGGGCGGGGCCCAGGAAAGGGGAAGCGGGCACCACCGCCAGGCAGCCACTGGCTGCGCATCAGAGCTGCCTCCTTCGTTGGAGGGAATGTTTGCGCATCTTCAACCACGCAGGTCACTGCGCAGGCGGGCCAAACCCAAACCCAAGCACGCCGGCCGCTACTGTCGCACCGCGTGCAACGAGCTGTTGGCGGCTCACCGAAGGCCACTCTTGCATGCAGCTGTTCCTGCGCGCCCTCATTGGGGGAGGTGGCCACATCATCCTGGCTTGGCCAGGGGCCGATACGCTCCCGACAGTGACCTCCGACAACGCTATATGTTCGCGACTCGGGCCCCCAGACTTCTCGACCCCTTCCATGGGGCCAGTTTCCGTCCTGAGTCGTTGTTTGACGGTCCCAGGGACCGGATCCAGCCTCTGGAAGCCGACCGTGCAGATGGAGACCCGATATTTGCGAGCCTTTGGAGGTCCTAGGAGGAGCTGGCCCGAGGCGGGCCTGCAGAGATGTTGAGCGGCGCCAGAGGTACATGACCCAACGAGACCTCGACGAGCGCATGCAGGAGCAGAGGGTGGCCCCGCGCTCAGGAGGGCCCCCCAGCGCGATCCCGTTTTGAAGCGGACCATCGGAGCGATTTTTGTTGGGGAGGGGAGAGCGAGGATAACTAGGAGGAGGAGGAGGAGGAACAGGAGGAGGAGGGGGGTGGGGAAAGGGTGGGGGGAAGGAAATGGGAGGGGCGAGGGGGAGGAAGGGAGGGGAGGGGACGGGGACGGGAGGGGAGGAGAGGGGAGGGATGAGGAGGAGTAGAATGAGAGGGGAGGTACAAGAAAAAAAACACAGGTGAACCAGACTTCGGCTGGCTGGCGCGATCCGCCCGTCGCACCTGGGCGGGCAGGTAGCCGCAGTTGGCGCGAGCCACCCGTCACGCCTGGGCGGGCGGGCATCCGCAGCCGACGCGAGACGTCTGTCACTGGGCGGGCCGACAGCCGCAGCCAGCGCGAGCCACCCGTCACACTTGGGCGGGCAGGTGCAGGCCGCCGCAGCTGGCGGGAGCATGGGCGGGCCGGCTGGGCGGGCCAGCACTCGCAGCTAGTGCGAGCCGCCCACGACACCTAGGCGGGCCAGCGGCCGCAGCAGGTGCGAGCTTGGGCGGGCCAGCAGCCGCACGCAATCCGCCCGCCACATCTGGGCGGGATAGCAGCACTGGCCGTCGCGAGCCGCCCGTCACACCTGGGCGGGCCAGCAGCCGCAGGCGTCGCGAGGAGCGACAACGGCGCCGACGGTGGCACTGACAGCCTCTCCGATGGCTGCCCCAACAACCTCGCGGGCAGCGGCGTCGCCCGCGGTGACCACGGGGGGTGCCAGGTGGAGCTGGCTGCCCATGTCAGTTCGCGCGTTTCCATGAACTCAGGCGGTGTTTGAATTCCACTTGGTCTTGGCCCTGACCCCCGGCGGGGATTCGCCTTGGTCCGCCGCCCACAGCAGGTGGTGTTCACTCCCCCCGCGAATCCAGCCCTCCCCGATTGACCGCGAGGGGTGCCAGGTCGAGCTCGCTGCCCATGTCTGTTCGCGCGCGTCGCTGAATTCAGACGTGGAGTGAACTCCACATGTTCGTGGCCCTGACGCCCTGCGGGGATCCTCCCCTCCATCGCCCGCAGCAGGTGGAGTTCACTCCCCGCGCGAGTTCAGCCGTCCCCGATTGACCGCGAGGGGTGCCAGATGGAGCTCGCTGCCCGTGTCAGTTCGCGCTTGTCGCTGAACTCGGGCGGGGAGTGAGCTCAACCTGTCCTTGACCCTCATATCCGGGGGGGCGTTGGGTGCGCGCGTGTTGGCCTCCCCCCAGAGTACGTGGGCGGACGCAAGACGTCGCCCCTGTCATTGGTGTCTGCGTTCCCCGTGCAATGCTGGCTGGCATTCCGATGGCATCGACGCAGTTGTCTGGCTCAAATCGCCGGAAGGCACGCGTCGCCAACGGAGACATCCTGGCAGGGAGGAAGGGCGCCGCCGAACCCGGCTTGTCCGCGGCGGTGGAACCCCGATGTTTTATCGTCCGCGGTGTCATTCGCAACCGAACGCCGTCAACAGCTGTTTGCAGTTGCAATCATAATGTGTCAACGAGTCTACGCGATCGCGGTGTGTTGGGCAGCGTGGCTCATGTTGTCTTTGCGGCGTGTCCAACGTGATGACGGCACGCAGATCTCAGTCTCGGGCGAAGCCGACGAGTCCGTGGATGTTGTGGATTTGTTCCTCAGTATGGCCATCTCGCTTGAGACATCCTCATAACATTGAGACGAAGGAGGCTATCGTTTGAGACTTGTTATGTTTAAATAACGATTCCGCATGAAACATTCTCACAACACCTGGATGTTGAAATCGGTCGCGGAATCTTCGGATTCTCGAAAATGAGGTCTCGCTTGGGACATCCTCGAAAAAGTGGGGTGCTGAAACAAATTTCTCCAAGACCTCTTCAGCTAAAGATGAGCGTTTCGCTCCAGACACCCTCGGAACATAGAGATGTTGAAATCGTTGGCGAAACTTTCGGGTCTTCAAAAATGTAGAGCGTGCCTGAGACATCCTCGAACAAGCTGGGTGTTGAAGTAGCTGTTGTACGACATCTTTGGGGAGGCGCTCTTTGAGGACCGCCAAGATGGCCCAAATAGCAACATCATTACAACAACTGTGTGTTGTTTCAACAAGTCTGTTAATTATTAAGCGTTTCGCTCGAGACATCCTCGAAAAGTGCCTTTCGACGGGCCCTCGGAACGATCATCATAATCCGAAAGCCTTTATAACGGATTCGAGGCTGCGATCGAAAGCAGTCCCCCGGCACTGCTTTGAACGCGTTCAAAGCAGTCCCCCGGCACTGCTTTGAACGTCTTCACAAGAGGCTGATGATATGATGATGTTGATGATGATTTGTCCTGCGTACACTGTCCGCAACTGCGGCTATCAACACCATGCTCCACTTGCCCGCAACTGCGGCCATCACCAACGCTGCGCCTCCCAGGTCCACGGGTGGCGCTCGGCCTCTCGCCCGCTCGAGCCCCACTCGACTTCACGCTGAGGAGGCGAGCCCTCAGGGGCATTGTCCGCAACTGCGGCCTCATCAGAGGGCCACCACTGTGCGCCATCAGCACCCCATCCGCTCGAGCGCCAGTCCCACCAGCGCGCCTCCCATGCGCCGCTGCCGCTCGCGCCCCAGGACCCAGCCGCCACTGCGGCATAAGAAGGGGTCGCATCGTCGCCGTTGGCAGCTTGCGGCGGTGGCGTGTTCTCTGCTCGCTCAGCCCCAGCGTCTCTCCCCGCAACTGCGGTTTCCATCTGGGGTCGGGCGCCCTTCCCCGCAACTGCGGTATGTGCGTAGCTGCCCTTTTTGCCGCCCTTCCTGCCGTCTTCGTTGGCCCCCTTGCCCCTCTTCTGTGCGTGCCTTTCCAACCTCGCGGCGAGTCTTTCAGGTGACCTGCGGCACGTATTGTGCGTGAAAGCCACCAGGGGGAAGTGCGCTCCGTGCCTCGCCCTGCCGACGGCGCCATGCCATATCTTGTCGTCGAGTTTGCCCTGCTTCACTCTGAAGGGATGAGGCACAAACTCTTCGCGCGCCCTGCGCGCCATCCTTTCCTCTGAAATCCGCAACTGCGGCCAAGGATTCGCCAGATGGCGTCAGGAAGGCGCGCTTCTTGTCTTCTACGGCCTCAGCCTTGGGAGCGTAAGTCTGAAGCATCTCCCCAGGGCCACTCGTGCAGTCGAAGACACGGAACGACGGATCATGCTGGGTCGTCAAGAACCCGCCCTCGCGGTCGTGCAGAACATTCAGGCCATGGTGAAGCTTGTACTGCCCAGGACAGCTTATGAACATAATCGCCATGCTGTCTGCCCTGGGCTGGCCGCCTGTTGTCTTCCAGGGGGTCCACGCGGCGACGTCCACAGTCAGGCCGCAACTGCGGCACCAGGACACAAGCTGGAACATGCACATGTTGAAGTCCCCCATGCAGACCTTCGCGTTCCAATCCCTGACGTAGGCGACGAACCAGTTGTAGAACTCATGGAGCTTCGTGACGCCCCAGTCTTGGTTGGCCAAGCTGTGGTGGACGTGCACCGCCATGACGTTGAAGGAACCCCCCAGATGGGGCACGGCCTGGCCCAGGTGGACGCGCACCACCATCGCCCTGGAGTACTTGGTGTGCCACTTTGGCGCAGGAGCATCCGCAACTGCGGACTTGTTCTTTTTCTTCTTCGTTTTGGACTTCTCCTGCTTGTGGAAGAGCCTCGCAAAGTCGACGCGTTCAATGTGGCCGCCACTGCGGTCCCTGATGCCAACAAGGAGGGTCCCTGATGGCCCGCCGCCCTTAATGCACAGGTAGTTGCAGTGAGTCCGATTCCGAAACGTATCGTCCGCAACTGCGGCTGCACTGTCCCTCGCGTCGCGCTCCCCACTGAGTACCGCGCAGGTCCCGTCGTCGCACTCGCACAGGGCGATGATCTGGGCAGGGTTCGCGCGGAGCTGCGCCCACTCGTCCGCGCGTTGCACGGGTCTAGCTGCAGTCCCTCCGAAGTTGGCCACGTAGAAGCCGACCCGTCCCGCTTCGTACCCCGTTCTCTCCTCCCATGCGTCGACAAGGGCTCTTTGGTTGTCCGACAGATTGCTTGTCTGGATGACAGGCGCCCGGGTCCAGGTTCCCCGCGACGACAACGCTCTCGGCATGTAGGAGTCCTGTGCTGCCGCAACTGCGGATCCCGCACCTCCCCGCGGCTCAGCCTCGTCAGCGGAGACAGCCGAGGACGCGACGGTGCTGTCGCCATCTTGCGTCCGCTGGTCGTCGTCATCATCCGCAACTGCGGCTTTCTCGTCCTCGCCTCCCTCCTCCTTCTCTTTCTCGTCCTCGCCTCCCTTCTCCTTCTCAGCGCTGTGGATGAACACCGTTCTGGCGAATCGAATTCCACGGTCCGTGCTCCCAGAGGATGCGCTCGGGCGCGCGGGCGGCCACGCGCCTGGGTCTTCGCGTGCGCCACCTCGAGCCACGGTGGCTACGGAAATGGATCGTGAATGGGCATGGGATCGGATGGAGGGAGGAGACAAAGGGGATTCGAGGAGTGGCAGAAGGAGGGCGAGGACTCAAAGGAACTGTAAGAACAACAAAGGGACTGGCGGAGAAGCAGGAGGGCGAGGATTGCAAGGGACTGAGAAAGGATTATTTTCGCATCAGCTGGAAGACCGCAACTGCGGTTTTGCCTCATCTCCTGCCCGCGCGGGCGCCGCTCGGGAAAACAGCTTCACGCTGGACTTCCTGTGGGTCCGCAACTGCGGCCTGCATCGCGCTAGGGCTGGGATTACCAGCGCCATTTGCCCTCCCAGGGTTCTCACTGTTTCCGAATGCACGAACTGCGACAGCGCCGAACGGTTCCCAGACGCCGCGTCGTTCGCGACTTTTTGCAGCCACCCAGCAAACGTAAACGGCCATTGCTCCTTGTGCTGCCTGCGCATCTCCTCGTCCCAATGCGTCTTGAACCATGCCCACTCCCCCCTCTGTTCGTCTGAGAGGACGCCCTTTCCGCGAGCCAGGCGGTCCAGAGCTG